TTTCGCTCGACGAAGGCCGCCATTCGGCGACATCTCTGGACTCGAGTTCCGGTCGAATCATCCCAATCATTCCCAGCCCCGGGTATCCTAGTGATACATACTGCTCCAGCGGGATAAGCTCGGCTGCTTCCTCACTGGAAATCATCATTCCATTACTTCCCCCCTAATCATCCATCACGGCTCCTACACGTCCTGGGCCGTTAGCTATGGGAGCTGCAGCTGCAGGCGCGACCTTGACTCGAGGATGCATGGCCCGATGGGGGCAATCTCGGGCCAAGTTTCCCGGTTGATGACATGTAAAACAGGCATTTGCCGCTATCCCGGCTGGCCCCGCTGCAACTTGTGCAGCAGCTATGCCTCCCTGCATTGGTGCTCGCACCGCAATGGGTCGCATATTCCGCATCATAGCTTCTAATCGGGCGTTGTGYTCTCGCTGTTCCTTCTTGCTTTCTTGGATTAGACTAACCAATGTTTTAGTTAGCTCCAAGATAGCAATAGACTCATTCGCTCTTGCGGGTGACTCGATGGTGGGTGGCGGTGGAGGTGGCTGAGTTACGGTTGGGGACGTCATTACCGGGATCTGCCTGTTTACAGTCACTCCACATGGTGCGGTCCTCGATGTCACCTGTTCTACATACGTAACGGGTCCGACTACTAATCCCATGTTTTCGAATTTGTTTTGCAGTGCGGCCAGTTCCACCCTTGCTTGCACAAGTTATGACGAGTCTCCTTCTCTACCATAATCCTCATTTTCTAAGAAGCTGGCTGTGAACTTCCGCTCCATTTCTTCGGCAGCGTCCATAATTTCTTGCAGCGTGTAGTTAATGGGAGATAAGTTTTTGCGTAGCTTCCCCTGAATCGTTCTCTTACGTAGTCCATCAATGAACAGGTCCCGGCCTACCTGCTCGCCTCGCTCAGTCTTTACAAACATTCGATGAAATCTGTTCCGATACTCGGAAATGGATTCCAGTGGTTTCTGGACTCGATCCTTGATCATATAGAGTGCTTGTTCGAGGTGAACATAATCGAAGTGGTTCATGAAATCCCGCTCGAATGTGGGAAGATCCACCCATACATAAGTGCTATACCAATGATGGGCGTCCCCCCCCATCCGCGCGGGGATGTTGATTTGAGCTTCATCGTTCGTATACCGCTGAGCTCGGAGTGTGGCTAACCATGCTCCAGCGAGATGGTGGGCTGGATCAAATAAATAAAGATCTGGTGGAGCCGCAGGGGCTCGTGCAGGCGGCGCAGGCAGGTTAGGCTGTTGGTTGGAGTTGACCACCGCAGCGGCTGCTGTAGCGGTGGGCGCAGCCATGGCGCCTGCTCGCCTTGTGGCGGACGTTTGGCTTCGTGTAGCTACAGGACTACGTCGGCGTGTGGCCCCAGCTGAAGGGCGCCTACGTGGAGCCAGATCGCCTCGCCCTAGCCAATATTGAGTCTATAGACCCTATCGCTTAGCCACGTGTCGGGCTCCGATACCAACCTCACGCCCGGCGCGACTTCCTGATCGGAGTGGGATGGGGGCCTGGAAGTGCGAAGAGGGGTGTGCCAAGGATTTTTGGGAAAGTGGGGGTTGAAGTCCCAGGTCAGAACTGGGATCTTCTGTGGCCGAGTTCAGGGGCAGAGATGCAATAGAGCAATGGGAAAATTTACGGCCGCGGGCTTGCACGCTGGTTGTGCGCGGCCGTCCGATCCTGACGTGATCGCCAGTTCAGGGGAGCCTGTCAAGGCGGTCCTTGGGGCCCACGCCTTCGGGGTCCGCCACGTGGCGTGGGTTGGTGGGAACTATGCCTAGGTAACGAGGCTCCGGGGGTTCGGGTATGGGCACGTCGCCTGCAACTTCTGCGTGGGGTGGCGGGCCAATAAGGCGCTATGTAATTTCACGGTACTACTGTAAGTTGATGATAGGGGAGGAGGAGGTGGTATGGCGGGAAATTAGTGGCGATAAGGACGAAGCCGGGGGTTATGAAATACTGCGTGTTGTACGTGTTTGGGTAGTCGGGTATCCGTGGGTCGCTTCGTACGGCGAGATGGAATTCCCTAGCGCAGAATCTATCGTTTTCCGTGAGGCAGGGGAACACCGGGTTTCTCAAATTTCCCCGTAATCGGAGTTGCTCTTCTTCCCAGATT